CAAATATATGCATGAACAAAATTTTTGCGAGCAGACAGACTTGCGAAAATAAAATTCTTGCAAGTAAAAAGTGATTTACAGTACATTAAATCTTTGAAAAGCTTCTTTGAACTAAGTGCATGGTAGATGAATGAAAGTGAAACAAAAATATATTTGTACATTAAATGTTATTCAAAGAGCAAGAGATACCAATGGACTATGGGAATTGTGCTGGGTTTATTATGTGAATACTGTTTTCTGTAAATACTATTGTGATAAATTTGGTGATAGTGATCGAGTGTAATTAGAACTGATACAAACAAGCAAGAAAATAGATCTTCTTTCTGAGTTGTTACTGACTAACTAATGTGTTGATTCTTGATTATCCTATTTCTCTTGTTTTTGAGCAACATTATAATCTTCCTATTTCTATTATAACTTTTATAACTTATAACTTAATATAACTATTTTAACTTCATATTCGTCAGTTTTTTGATCGGGATGCCCAGGTTCGATTATTGCTTGCCACATCGCGTCAAATCTAAGACATTAACATAGGTTGTGACTGATCCTTCGCCAAATGCCGAGCACTAGAGGTTAAAGTCACGGGACTTTTGGATGAGACCTTAAAATCTGAGGTCCCGTGTCATGGTAGATGGCATGATAAAGAACCCTCACTGCTCAATGGTCCTGAGTGCTGAGTATAGGTCTAAATTTGAAGCCCTTCACCGGTATATGGTGATGTCTCTATAAGAGTGAAAAATTCCTGAATGGGACGTAAAATAACATACAATCAATCAATCATAAGTTTAAAAAAAAATTTCCCCCTACCTGCCTACCCAATATTTTTTATCCTGAGTCAGGAGAGGGCAAGCAAATATAATTTTAAAGATATGGCCTGATATTTAGTTTAATATTATCAATGTATTATAGTTATATTCTAGTATACTATACCTCCTTAATTATGTTTAAGGCTGTATACTAATAATTGATATAATTCTGTTTTGGATCCCCACGCAGCACAGTTAAGGCTGCAGTAAGGAGGCGGGGCCTAATTTATACAGGAAATGCTTACTATGACATCACACAAAAATATAAGTTCTTCAAATTACCACAAAATGAAATGATTTGCTATTTTAAACTTATGAATAGCTTTAGACTACATCAATACTAACTAGTGCATGCATTATTGTTGTTGGTTAAATCCCACACGGCAATATATAAACAATTCACTGATCACAATGCACTTGTCAATGTGACGTCATATTGGAAAATTTGACGCAGTTTGTATGCAGTGAGAGGCGGATCAAGTTATATTTATACAATGAAAAATGTATTTTGTAATTAAATAAAATATAAATTGTAGATATATAAGAGACCATTAACTTGGATGCGATGTCTGTTTTATGATTTTATTCGTATACTTCCCGTACATTCCCTAGACAAGTGATACTGTCGTATATTTGTATGCAGATTCATTGAAGGGTAATAGAAGGGTCATAATAAATCGATATATTGCAAGGGCATACCCTCAATGAATTATGACAAGCTTTTACACATAAACTCAAGAAGTATGAAGATATTTGAAAAGTGCTGTGAAACTGTTGAAATCTTGCAAATGAATTAATTATATCTTTATTTAATGTAGTTGACCAGCACAATATTCAACATACGGTCTAACAAATGTAATTTTAGCAATTAGATAGTAGAATCTATATAGGTTCGCAGCACTTTTCACAAACTACAAAGACTGTTGAAAATAATTATATGTTAAACTTAGATTTTTAACTTGGTTATGCCCTTGCAATATTAAAATTTATAGATGACCTCAATACTTCAGGTATATTTGCTAAAATCATGTGACTGCCACATCACGTGACAAGTCTTAATAAGAAATCTAATCGTCCTCAACATTTAGTTTTCAACCACATTGCATTTGTCCGATAATAGTAAAGTCCTAAAAAGAAATGTCCATCCTTGTAAAGAATGTATTTTCTATCTAAAAAATTCGCTGATTTTTCCATTTGGCACCTTAACTGTGCTGCGCACCCTCAAATGGAAATATTAGGAAATTAATAACTGGCATATAGTTTACAGGGAGGGGGGGAGGAGTCAAAATTTATCTGAAATCAAGGAAATATCATTCCCTCTTGCGTCTATTATTGTTTAGCGAAGAATATATACAATGCATTCTTTTTAAAACAATTTGTAATCCAGTAAAGGGTGGGGGGTTGGAGGTTTTCACATACAGTAGTATTTGTTGAACTTGATCAATAATAGAATCCCATCCCAATCTCAATCTTTCTCCATCAGAAGTCATGATCAGTTAACTGTTAAATTTTAAATATATTTATCAGAGTATCTAAGAGACAATCTTTGTTCAATGTGACTATGAACAAAAATCTACCAATCCATATACAGTGCTAGAAATAATTTTTTTTTTCCACTGGTCACTCAGTCTATCATCTTAAATTTTTACTAGTCAGCTCACTACTCTCACTCTCCAAATGGGCTGGTAGATTTTAAAAAGACTGGCCCAAAACCGTAATAATAGTAGTATTTTGTTTATATTGTGATACTACATATAGTACAACTTAACAAAACAGGAAACAACAGAAGTGAACTTGGACACATAACCCTGTCAAGTTAGACTAGCCAGGCCGTGAATGAATTTGTTTATGCATAAAAAACACTGACCCAAAGGGCACATGTCCTCTAAAATGTACTAGCCAAGATTAAAAATTCACTAGCCCAAGATCAGTTGGCCATCAATTATTTCAAGTCCTGATAAATTGGTGTCATATTGGTCCTGAGTTCTATTCCTACATAAGGCTAAGTTGGTCATACACAAGTTGCTGAGAAATTCATTATACTCAGGTGACTGTAATGGCCCATAGGCATCTTGTTTAAGAATAATGCAATTGGTGACAAGTTCATTATACAACCATATGTAGAGATTATAGAGTTATGGTCTCTCAGCAGTGGTTGTAACATACAATCAGTTGTTAAAATTTTTGAAAGATAGGTGTTTAGAGCTAGTCAGTAAGTTACTTATCCGGCAGTGGTGAGAATTAAGTGTCCTGTAGGCCATGTCTGAAAAAAAAAATTCTGACAGCGAGTGGTAGAATGGGATTTGAAGATAATTGATTCAAATTAAACAGTTACCACAATTTTGTTGCTTCCAGCGGAACCAATGAATAATCATTCACGAAGAAAATTGAATTAAATTAAACAATTACCACAATTTTGTTGCTTCCTGCAGAACCAATGATTAATCATTCATGACAAGAGGCCCATGGGCTTTGAAAGTCACCTCAGTCTCATCATTTTATTAGGCGAAGGCTTAACACTCTGGAATGGGACTCTAAACTCTGAAATTCACAACATCTGTTCCCTTTTTCTATAGAAGCAAATACCAAAATTGGATGAAATTAAATTTGCCATTTAAGAGTATTTTACTTGCTAAAAATGTTTATATGTATTCTGTTAGTTCAGTTAGTTCTTTTGGGCGTGATTTAAAAAAAATAATTCCACATGAAGTCATGTATTTCTGTCATTGGTTTTTGATAATTCTATCGAAGATTGTGCCAGATGTTGGGCTAAATATGAAAAGGAAGATCTGAACACTTTTTCAGAGTGGATGAAATGTTTTAAAAATATTAAAGAATCCTGTAAGAAATTTAAAAGGCAAAATGTTTTCACTTAATCGGAGGTGATAAAAGAATTAGAAAGACTACATGAACAATACGTCACGGTTCTAGCCGACAAGGCTTGTAATGATATTGTCTTTGTTTAAAAGGGTCATTATTATAACTGTATTTTAGAAGAACTTGGTTTTAATTCTACTTTTTGAAATCCAAATTATACTCACAATTCACTTACTAAAGATGAAATTCTTCAAAATTTAAACTTTTATCATTCCAGTCAACCAGGTGAGTTCAATTTACCCTACCATATATTGGATTCCTAAACTTCATAAAAACCCTTACAAACAGAGATACATTGCAGGGTCAAGCAAATGCTCTTCTTAGCCCCTATCCTTACTCCTTGCAAAAATATTAACTACTGTTAGTGAGACTGCATTAATTCTTCTCTTTTCATGGGCATAAATGATGCAAACAAAGTGCAAAATTGTAATGAGCAAGCATGTTTTTTTTTTCCAGATTCGTGAATTTCTGGACCACTTGGTCAATTGTTCTGGTGCTGAGCAGGACTCTATTGCTATTGTAGGGAAATTTATACTATAATACTATAAACAAGTTGTTTACAAATAGTTGTGTAGTTCATCAAGAACACTGACTAAAAATTCATTTAAAAAAACATCACATGTACATTATTATTAATTGCTGAAAGTCTGTAACCAAGTTGAGTTTACAAAAAAAAAAAAAAATAATCCACAATTTGTTTCAGTATTTCAAATTCTTGAAATTAGAGAATCCATGCTTTGTTATGAGCTGTTAGTGCCAGATGGACTAACAATTTATAATATCAATTGTTGTGGAAATGATACTTTCTGTATATCACACGCTTTAGTGGCTTTACATACGGAACTTTTCTTGTCCCATCTTCCGAGGATGCTTAAAAGTGAAAATGTTTTACCCCTTATCTACGACTTATTAGTTCTAAAGCGTGTTGTCAATATCAATATCATCTCTTCGCTTCATACAAGCCCCAATTTTCCAAGGACAACTACTTTCATTTTCAATTTTTTGATAGGTCGTTCATGTAACGTTTCGTACCGATATTTTAATGCATGTATCGTAAACCGTATCTTAGCAGAAAATATTGGTATGTATCGGTGTATAGGTATATCATCCCACCCCTAAAGTTGATGATTAAAATCATGAATGTTGTAAGCAGATATGTGCATCAATCTATTTCAAGTTTGTACCAGTAGAGCTACAATCTTATCAGAGACTTTTGGTTATAATGTAAATGTGAAAAAATAGAGAATTCAAGATGGATATCACAATCATCAGTCTTCAGGAGTTCACTTTCAATTTGTATTTTTTCACTTTCAGTTTGTATCCCATCCCCACTGTCAGCAGTTATTGACCTCCATTTGGTATGAGGGTCTTCCTGGATGGAGAAAGAGGAATGGTCTGACTAAGTTCCTGTTATGTATGGGGCTTATACTGATTGGTCCATTCATGGCTGTGTATTACCTGATCTTCCCGCGTAGCAAGATAGGACAGCTCCTTCGGAGTCCTTTTATGAAGTTTCTCTATCACAGTGCCTCGTTTGGAGTGTTTCTGATTCTCCTGGTGCTATGTTCTACAGACATCAGTAGTCCCAGTGATAGAGGAAACATACGGGGGCCTCCACCCTCAGAACTCGAGTGGCTCATATTTTTATGGGTGATGGGTAATTCCTTCCTTCCAATTATAATTATCAACTTCTATTCAACTTCTTTGATTTTAAAGATTTGTATCATGAAGTTAGTAATATTCAAAGATAAACTTTGTGAAGATTTATTTCAAAAAGAAATGTTTAAGGACTCTCTTTTGAGATTGATAGCCATTAAGCAGTGTGTCTTTCCTTAAATGCATCTGTCCATGGACAATAATTATTTTATTAAAGTACATTTTGGAAGCATTGCTGACTTGCCTGTTCTCCAGATTAAAATGCCCAAATATATGCACAAAAACAATATTAAGAATCACATATATAAAAGTAATGAAAATTTTTTTTGACTTCTAATAGTCTTATTGTCATCATGTAGACGTTGATGTTAAGAGATTTGTGAGTACAGTGAGTAAATTTGCTTTGTGTGAATTCATTTAAATTTTCCACAATGAATTTACAAAATCTTTTGCATTAAAGGCAAATCTTTCGGACAAATTGATAGTAAGCTATGGAAAACATCCACTTTTGTTAGGTAGGTCTGATATTGGCTGAATTGCAAATGTTAAGGCACAAGATGTTTGTAAAAAAAATTCTCTGTGTCTCAGATTCTAAATGCAAGAAAGTTTTGTTTTATGAAAGGTTGATTGTATTTCTAGGATTTGTTTGGGCTGAGTGTAAGCAGCTCTGGGAGGAAGGACTGAAAGCCTACACTAGACAATGGTGGAACTGGCTAGATTTCTTGATGCTCTCACTTTATATTGCGACATTTTCCTTGCGACTTGTGGCATATGTACAGATTGAATCAGGTAAATATGGAGACAGGAATATTCCCAGGAAGGATTGGCCCATCATTGATCCTACTCTTTTAGCAGAAGGGCTGTTTGCAGTGGCCAATGTTTTCAGCTTCTCAAGAATCATATTCTTGGCTCAGGCTAATCAGCATCTAGGACCCCTCCAGATCTCTTTGGGCTGCATGTTGATTGACATAGGGAAATTTCTCTTCATTTTTTTCCTGGTGTTGACATCCTTTGCGTGTGGAATGACCCAGCTCTACTGGTACTACTATAATAGTCGTGTTCCTGAGGACCCAGTGGCATTTGTATCGTAAGTTTTACATTCTTATAATTTCCTAAGTTCTCTTGTATGATGGATCAGAATCGTAATTGGACTTTTTAAGAAAAAAGAAATAATCGGAGATGGCTAATTTTCTGTTGATACTTCCAGGCTGGGAGAGAGCTATGCTACGTTATACTGGTCATTGTTTGGGATCACAACAAAGCATGACCTCAGAATCCAGAATGGTCAAAACTTTACTGAGATGCTGGGTCGCTTGATGTTCATGTTGTATCACTGTATGGCCATTATTGTACTCATAAACATGTTAATTGCCATGATGTCCAATTCTTTCCAAAATATTGAGGTAAATATTGACATGAAATTTAGTCCTCAAACTTAAAAGAAGGACTTCACCCTATTAAGTGCTTTATTACTAGATCTAGCATACTTGTGGGATGAAATGAGTATTCTTAATATAAATTATATTATTTTAGAACCATGCTGATATGGAGTGGAAATTTTCCCGTTCCAAGCTGTGGATGGGTTATTTTGATGAGGGATCCACCCTTCCTTCTCCTTTTAACCTCATCATCAGCCCTAAATCTATATACTATGCCATCTGTTTTGTCAAGGACTTGCTCAGTAGCTGTGTAAAGGACAAACAGCATTTCCGAAGACCTAAAAGACGTACATCAGTGGGCAGTGTAAAGGTAAGGGTAGCCGATGTGGTTATTGGTTTTACTGTGAAATCACTAATTTTCCTGGGGTTTAATTTTCATTGATTTCTTGGTATAAAGAAACCTACTAATTTATATTCTCCACAAAGTGTTAAAATTCCATACTGCAGTATCATGTTTTTGCGTTAACTATGGAATCACATACCCTTGAACCAGTAATTTTTCCTCAAACCATGAAAATTTGACCCCATGAGAATAAGTGATTTTACAGTAATTGTAAAGGCATAAGTTTATTGTTTTTATTGTTTGTTGTTTTCAAATGAAAGGTATGGGTAGCTTAACTGGTACGGTAATCACATTAGTTGTAAAGGTAAGCCTGGCTTAGTGGTATTCATATCTGATAAGGATACTAATATCTTCAATATTTTAGGTTTTTTAGTTTTAAAAAAAGATGAAGGTAGTTGGTGTACATTTATCCTTTGCAGAGTTAAAGTAAGGGTTCCAAAAGTGATGATTGTATTCATTATAAAGGTAACTCTTGTGTTTATTGTTTTCAGTATAAAGGTAAGGATAGCTTAAGTGCTGAGCCAAAGTGAAGTTATGTTTTTACACCCTATTTGTAAGAAAAATGACAGAAATTCATTAAAAATCATAGTACAAATGCGTTAAAAAATATCATGATATTATCAAAATATTTTTGATAAAAATTGTGATGTGTTGTGATACAAAGTTTTTGTCAATTTCCATCCTTATATTCCTCCTATAGTTGTGGTCTGATTTCATAAAACGTATTACTCAGCTAGACTACTCTAGGATTCTGTTTTTCAGTCTACATATTTATCTTTGACAGACATTAGTTCATTTTAATTATGTTTTTCATTCTTGTGGTTTATAATTACCCATTTACACAAGCACTGCCGAGATACCCCTCTGTTATTTATTTCTTTTTTAAAAACATGCAATGAAAACATATTACCCTAGGTGAAAATATATTTACCAACACCTTAGCATCTACCTGTATAATTATGATGTGACTGGCCAGGAGAACAATATAACTGTTATAAAAAGAACTCGTTATCAGCTTAGGGGACTGATAATTTACTTCAAAATAAGCAATAATTCAATATAAGGGATTTCAATTTTACTGATATTTTATTGCAAAGATAATGAGAAAAAAAGACTGGGAATTTAGTTTTATTTCAAAATAAGCGATATTTCAATATAATTAGAGTAGGGTATAATTCTGTTGGTTTAAGATTTTGTGAACTTTTTTTTTTGAATGTTGTTGCCATGGTTACTAAATATAGAGAGTTCTGTGAAATTGTATCAAAAGACTATAAGGCCTTTCTGCACCAAACTTGCGTGGATGATGCCTCAAGGGATGAACACTCTCAAACTTGCTTCAGATGCTGGATTTGACTTACATTTTCTGGATGAGTAACTTGTTTAAAGTTGCTAGATAATACCGAAGTTGCATAAATGTTGCATCTAGGGATGGACAGTACTATATTTATTTAGAGTGTGACTTTGCCTTACTTAAAGACAACATTCGCTGAGGTGAGCTCTGTAATCTCTGATTACCTATTTTTACATATAGCATATATGGGTAGAGGGGAACAAAAGTTGTGAATATCATGGTCCCCATCCCCTTGGGGCCTGAGATATGGGGCTAAAATCATCAAAATAAATGCAATCTTTAAAAATCTTCTTCTTTACTCCTGGATGTCAAGCAGTCAAACTGTTGGCATGATGTAACAAGCAATGAGCCCTCTACTAAAACTGTGAAATTTATGGTCCCATGGTCAGGGGATTCTTTAGTTAAGGTGAGGCTCTATTGATCATATAGTAAAATTTTTATAAATTCTTTAAAGATCTTCTCTCCCCCTGTGTAGATCACCAAATTTTTGTGACACCTTATTTTCATGAGATAGGTATTTGGTGTATATATATATATATATATATATATATATATATATATATATATATATATATATATATATATATATATATATATATATAAGTGAGACAATATATTCACAAATTCTGGTTATTGTTTTACATAATCTTTACTATTAATAAAAATATACACGAGAATGAAATTTTTCACAAGCAGACCGTCTCATATAATAATGCAAAAATAAATTTCTTGCAAATAGAATTGATCTCTGGTATGTGCATTTAAATGAGGTGCATGATTATGATGAGCAGGGTTATGATGAGCATGGGTGTTCTTCCAAAACTGTGAAATTCATGGCCCCTGGGTCAGGGATTTTGGTGTTAGGATAGGGCTCTATTGATTGTATAGTGAAAATGCATTAATTCTTTGAAATCATCTTCTCTGCTCCTGAATATTTAGCAGATAAACTAAGTGTATGGTTATGATGAGCAAAGGTGCATTTTAAAAAAAATTTGAATTTCATGGCCCCTGGGTCAGGGGTTCTGGCCCCAAGACCATAAACTGAGAACAGACTGAAGTCAAAATTTCAAACCAATATAACTTTTGAAATAATTTTGATATTGAAACAAAATTTTCATCATATATTTAAATTTAAATGTTATATAAAATTGCAAATTTTTAAGCAAATACATTAAAGAAAACTCAAGATATTAAAAATTAAAATTTTGACTTAAGTCTATTCTCAGTTTATGGTCTTGGGGCCTGGTGTTAGGATGGGGCTTTATTGACTATGTAGTGAAAATGCATTCATTCTTTAGAAATCTTTTCTGCTGTTAAAAATGTTTAGTAGTAATGCATATGAAATTTTACGTTTCCTGGTGGTCTTAAATTCATGGGTCTCTCCATACCTCAAAAACAACGAAAATTAAACCCCCACGAAAATTTGTTACTTCACAGAAAAACCAAAATCTTCAGATTTTGTGTGCAAAAGGGTTGTTGTATATTTATTATACCCTTTTATGTCCTTCCGTCTGTACGTCCTTCCATCCATAACACTTAGAGGTACCCATCTCCTGTCCGCAACTCCTCCTTTACCACTGAATAAAATTTAATGAGACTCTCACAGACTCTTTATTACATAGTGCCATTGTACATCTCCTATTTCATGTTCTGATCAGACAGATATTTGGACACAGCCATTCTTTCTATAAAATTTTGGGTACCCATTTCCATCTGCAACTCCTCCTATACCACTGAATAAAACTTTATGATACTTTCACAGAATCTTTAATACATAGTGCAATTGTGCGCCACCTATTTTATGTTCTGATCAGACAGATATTTGGGGTTTAATACATTGCTATTCTTTCTATGATATAGGGGGTACCCATATCTCTTATCTGCAACTCCTATACCACTGAAAAAAATTTCATGATACTTTCACTGAATCTTTAATACATAGTGCCATTGTGCACCTCCTATTTTAAACACTGTTCTATTCACCTGCTGTTTTATATATATATAATTTTTTTTACTTTTGATGGGTCATCATTTCATAAGGAAATGGATAAACACCGTAGGGTAAGATATTACATAACCGAGTTCATTACAAGGTCAGTGCTAGCTTACACAAAATTAATAATTAAGTCATTTTGTACAGCTATCTAAATGACAAGATGTAAGATAAACTGTTGATTTGTTGTTGTTAGGTCGACAGAGACAGTTTGACATTAAAAAGAAATGTTTTCACGAGTACAGTGTCCTGAGGACAAATTTGCTAATGTTTTTTAAAGATCACAAGAAATGAGAAGAAATATTATGTTAACCTGCATCTCTTTAATATCATTTTTTGGTGTGTGTAATTTGTCATTGTATCCATACAAACAGTGTAGTGATAAACTCTTTACGTATAAATACAAGACAGATCATTGGCTTAGTTATAATAAAACACCTATTAAAAGTTATCATTAATGAATTTTATAAATATAGATCTAACAGAGATCTAAAGCCCATAATTTGATCACTAAAATTACATTTATTTGATAGGTACCATTGCAACCTAGCCTGGACATTTATAAAATAAAGAACTGGTATAAAAGAATTAAAGAGCAAGATCAATTAGGGTCTTTTTTAGCCTTGTAAATTTCTGAAAAATCGAATTTGCTCTAATTCTTCACTCAGAATTTTCCTACTTCAAAAATCCCCTACCAACTTCCTAAATCTCTGAAGATAAAAATATGATACATACACATAATTTTAATATATTTATTAATTTCACTTTCAGCCTGTTCCAAACCCAGTGCCAAGAAGAGAATTTATGGACATAAACTCGGTAAGTTGATGTAAATCAGTCGGATTTAAGGGGGGGCGCCCCTGGCACGCGCGCCCCCCTTAAAATTGTCAAAGTTAGCGTAAGTCATGGTTTCGTCAAGAAAATGTAAAAAGGTCTACTCTGTAGACCTCATTTTTACCCTACAAAATCTCTAGAATCCAGGAGCTTCCGGGGGCTTCACCCCCTTGGCCCCCACCAGGGCTTCGCCCTGGACCCACTGGGGCCTCAAGGTGGCCCCCAGACCCCCTGCCTACTTTTTGCACCCCCCCCCCAACTTCAATTCCTGGATCCGCACCTGTACATGACAAGGACGTAGGTAACAAAAAGGAGTTTACTAAAATGCATCACATTAGTTTCTTTTTAACATTTGTACATGCAGGTATTTAATTTTTGTACACATATTATTTAAGTCTAGTACTTATGTTTGTAGGTCTTTATTTTATTTTTAAATGCAGGCAATACCAGGCACTTATGTAAGCTTTGAACAAAATTTCCTGATAAACTTCAAGAAAGAATAATTTGCTTCATTCCTGAAATATTTATACCAAGTCATTACATGTACAGAGTAACACTAACTAGTGACAAGAAAAACCTAGTACATGTATTAAACTTTAAAGATTTATTTTCAGAAAGGAGCAGTGCAGATCTCAACCAGAATAAATATTCATTCTGAAAAACCACCAGCAGAGGTGAGCACTAATTTATCTAGAATTGGTATAAAAATAGCTGGCAAAACTGTCCATTTCACAGCACCAAGAAGATAGGACAATTTAAAATTGCTTTTTTTTTTTTTTTTCAGCTAATGTAGATGTTATTTATATAAATACTGTAGGAACATCTTGTGTGTTTATACATCAAATAAAAATGGCATTACCAAAAAACAAATGTGGCATTCAACAAAAGAGAACATTATATTAGTACATAAGTAGCATAGAGTATTATCAGGTCACTCAGGTGACCTATTGCTTAATCTGTTTTCTTCTATTGTGCTTTAATTATTATTTGAACATTTTCAGCTTCTTCCGTGGTATGGCTGAACCAATTTCAACTAATTTTAGTATAAAGTGCCATCTATGGGCAAATTGAAACAAAAATTGTGAATTTCATAGTCTCTGCCTCGATCAGACAAACAAAGTTCATAAATATGATGAATAAGGGTGCCTCCTCCAAAATTGTGAAATTCATGGCCCATGGGTCAGAGGGTTCTCAGGTAAGGGTGGGGTACTATTGGTTAAATAGTGAAAATACATTAATTCTTTGAAAATCTTCAAATCTCTGCTCCTGGATATTTAGCAAACAAAGTGCACGGTTATGATGAGCAAGAGTGCTTCTTCCAAACTTTGGAAATCCATGGCCCTGTGTTAGGGGTCCAGTGTTAGGATGGGGCTCTATCATGATCATTTATGGAAATAAGAGAATTAAGTAATTACCCTTTATTATTCACATATGATAATTAATCACTGTAAATAATGCAGCCAATAGGTATACAGAATAAAAGAAGTATATAAGAAATTTTTAATCGAAGTACAAAAGTACTTTAATAGTTTTTAATTGTCAGGTAGACTTTGAAATGAGACAAAAATTATATAAATTTGTACATTGAATGTTATTCAAAGATCAAGAGAGGCCATTGGTACAAAGGTAATGCTGGGCTTACTATGTAAATACTGTGTTTTAACTTAAAGAACTTGTGTTAATTTTGGTATAGTTAGCACTGATACATACAAGGCAAGGACATAGATCTTATTTCTGAATTGTTGCTGATTACCAGACTAATTATTTTGTTGATCCCTGATGATACTGTTTCTCTTGTTTTAAGGAATGTATTTTCATCTGTCAGATATTTTGTTTTATGAATTTTCATTTCATTGATCTGTTGCAGGGTTATGTTAAACTCAGGTGATCCTTAAAGCCCTTGTGCGTCTTGTTTAAGAATATTAGTAGGTCCACATTAATTGATAGATGAGAAGCAACTTTTAATCTGTTTAATTGAAGATTTTATGACAATAGAGTATTATATATATATATATCAATTCCAATGCACACAGTATTTAAGAATGCCTGTAAATAAGATAAAATTCTGAATTTTAAACAGATTCCACATCTTGTAACTGGTAACCATTCAAACACATAATTCACTTTTAACAATTCTTTATATATATACATGTATATAGACTTGTACAAAATTAATAACCCCTGTCAATGAAATTTGAAGAAGTTAAAACTTGTCAGAATTGTCCTTTGAAAAATATCATGAAGAGCATTGCAAGGATTTCATGACATATTCAGAGAAAAATGTGTCCTTGTTTAGGAGGAAGTGATTTAAGTTTGACATGGGTGTGTTAAAGGATGTGGGCTCTGGAATTACATGGTCTGTTTTGCTGTCATTACCAAAAAGATATTTTAATGCACAGTCAAGTCTGTAATTTATAAGTCTAAAAATGAATTTTTTCCATGCATTCTTTTTTCTTAATATGTTTTCAAGATAATCTTTCCAAAATATGGTTATTAATTGCAATAATGAAGAACTGCATTATGTAATTTATCTTAAAAGTTTAAATCTGTTTTTGCAGTAGGTTGTCAGCATTAATTTATATCCTTTGTCTGCCATTTTGTCATTTTAATTTGTTAAATTTTAAGAAAAAGATTTGATTAATTTGAAATGTCAAAGAATTTGCACTTTGAAGTTCAAAGAAAAAATAGATGTGACCATTTGACCAAAAATCACAAAAAATATTAAGCTGCTTAAAATTTCTTTCAGGTGAAGTATCGACCCCCATTAAGTGCCCAGACCAGTGTCAGATCTAATGATGAAATGCATTACCAGGTAATAATGTGAATATGCTATATAAAACAATCTTATTCACAGATTGTTTGAAGATTGATAGCTGCTGCCCAGGGGTGTATTAAACCTTGACCAAAGGTCTTTTTTGAGAAGGTCAGTGGCAGTAAAAGTTTGTTTCTAGGTTTTAAGGTTTGTACTTTACACCCCTAAAGGATACACAATTATTTAAGCATCACTAAGGTTGCTTGCAGTGATAGTTCAAATCCTGGGCATTATTTTCTAAGCATTACAAAATTACAAATAAAACTTTATATTTACATTCAACAAAAAGTTTGACAAATACATGTATCAAGTTTGATAAATCTGACCCAGGGACATTTACTCAAGGTCATTGGGTACTGTCTTTGGTTGCACTGAAATTTTTAGCTATTCATAATCACCCCCCCCCCCCTTTTTCCCTTCCCATTCTAGAAGACAAGCTGCATGAATATGATGATGATTATAGAGTTATATTTTGTTACATGAGTCCAGTCCTATTCCAGGTGAAGTGAAAGTGGTTATAGTCTGAGAAATTCATGTTTCTCAGGTGACAGTCAAGGCCCATGGGCCTCTTGCAAAGAGTTGAAAGTCTGTGTGTTTAAAAAAAAATTGAAATATTTGCAAATTGTGGCAGTCAGGCAGGTTTGATGACCTCAGTTGGTAGAACATCTGCAAATCGTGGTCTGGTCTGTCACATTTTTCTCTTTGCTGGGTACATTTGGTGCTGTGCAAGCCCTGGAATTGACAGGTTAAAAGACCTGCCATTGAAGAGCCTGGGTTGGTGTCTTAAGAGGTGAAGACTTTTAACAAGGGAGTTAAGTGGCAGTGAAGAAGGTTTGATTGCCAGTGGCTAGATAACTCAGTTGGTAGATCACCTGACTTGTGATTCAGGGGGCTTGGGTTCAAATCATGGCCTGACCTTCGCATTTTATTCCCTAGCCAGTTACAAAATATATTTCAATTTTATTAGTAGACAATATTATTTACAACTTCTCTGGGATTATGCATTTATTTATTCATTTCAAAAAATAGGTGGGAAATTATCAAAAAAATTCTTTTTCCCCAAATGTATCTTGACTCTTTATATGTACTTAGAGTTGCATTATATTCTATGTAATCAGTGTTAGTAACAGTCATTAGTATCATACAGACAGTACAGCTGTACTTAAAAAGGATATTCATCCTTTCATATCAACACCTACATTTTTCAGCAAACATCTTTTAAACAGTTATGGAGAATGCAAATCCATGACTATAATAGATAGAAGGAGAGGTTAATGCTATTACCATTGTGAGAAATGATGATTATACTTCATTGTTAAGAATAAGACACCATCAGTTTTGGTTACCAACATAAAGGGAATTGAAACTGTTACATAAGTAGATCTTAATTGTCATAGATAAATCCCTGTTGAATTTCTTTTTTCTTGTCGAAGTGATTCTTTTAATTTCTTTAAGGTACACTCATTGTCTTTCAACATCTTTGATGAAGTGGATGAAATTCTGTCCCACTTTTAGGAAAGACAATTAAGAACAGAATGAAAAAAATGATGTGTAATCTTGTATTAAGGACATACGCAACATACCTTACCTACTGATAATTTTTTAAGATATTCTTAATTTAAGATTATAGTGTCATCAGATGTTTGTAGACAAAAAATCAGCTTGCATTACCAGGGGTTTTGAAAAGATATCAATTGATGAAAATTTTTGTATAATTCAAAGAAAAATATACAAAAATTACTATTAGTAAATTTATCCAAACTTGTTTTAGAAGAAATCTACAACAGCATATATAGACATTAAAATGTAGCACACAGTTCCTTTAAGTAATGGAACTCTTCAACTCCAGGGAAAAGGACAATAAAGTTCAAACTACATTGCGTATGTCCTTAAATATAAGACCAGAAATGACAATACAAATAGGGAAAATGTACTATGTTGCATATTACCAAATTGTTCCTGCCACATCCTATAGGAGTGAATATTTTAAGATTTCCCCAAAATTGTAAACATGCATTATTGAAACCACTTTCCATTTCCAATAAAAACAATGCTACAATTTTTGATAGTTTTGTTATGCTCTGTTTTACACAGGACATAATGCGAAGACTAGTCAGTCGATACATTCATCAGTTTAAGAAGGATAAACAGTTGGATGGGGTAAATGAAGATGACCTGCTGGAAATCAAACAGGACATCTCCAGTTTGAGGTAAAGTCTAAGTATACCACAGTATATACCCCTGGAACTGATAATCAGTATTCATTGTGGCAAGACAAAGTGCAAATTAGTCCTAGATATAGATATAGGTTGTTTTAAAGTTCTCCTCTGAAGTGCCTGATTTTGTTTTTTTTTAAAGTTGTTGTGTTTTTTAAAAAATGTTGAATCATTTTTAAATAAAATAAATTTAAAAATAAAACATATAGTTTTCCAAAGTTCCATGTTAATTTCTTTACAGATACGAATTGAGAGAAGATCGGAAAAGAGAATCTTACCAGGCAGCGAATCTGCTGCAGAGCACAAAACAAGAAATCATATCACTCATTCAAAAATTTAACATGACCATTCACCCATTACAAACTGGGGCAGGTCAAAGTCAGAGTCCCCTGAATGTCTCCACAGACAGAGGTCAGACCAATGACAGGGGTCAAGTGTTATCTTCCAATGACCTTGAGCAGTTAAAGGAGGACATTATCAGTGGAATTTGTTCCAGGTTACATGATAATATACAGACATTACAGGGAATGGAAAGATTGCCCTCTATTGATTCAGATCTCTATACTACCCACCTCTATACACAACTGTAATGTAATGGAGGCTGTAAAACGCCTCTACACATAACTGTAATGTAATGTAGGCTGTAAAACACCTCTACACATAACTGTAATGTAATGGAGGCTGTAAAACACCTCTACACACAACTGTAATGTAATATAGGCTGTTTATACACCTCTACACATAACTGTAATGTAATGGAGGCTAACACCTCTACACACAACTGTAATGTAATGGAGGCTGTAAAACACCTCTACACACAACTGTAATGTAATGTAGGCTGTAAAACACCTCTACACATAACTGTAATGTAACGTAGGCTGTAAAACACCTCTACACATAACTGTAATGTAATGGAGGCTGTAAAACACCTCTACACACAACTGTAATGTAATGTAGGCTGTAAAACACCTCTACACATAACTGTAATGTAATGGAGGCTGTAAACACCTACACACAACAGTAATGTAATGGAGGCTGTAAACACCTACACACAACAGTAATGTAATGGAGGCTGTAAACACCTACACACAACAGTAATGTAATGGAGACTGTGTGTACATCTCTACACACAACTGTAATTTAATGGAAGCTGTAAACACCTACACATAACTGTAATGTAATGGAGGCTGTATATACACCTCTAGTGACATTTTCTTTTAAATGCACTCTAAATATGTACATTCAGTATAACCAAAAAAATATTACTTTTATTTGGGGTAACGTGAAATTGTTATCCAGCGGAAACCATTGCTGACCGAGGCGTCGCATCGGTCAGCAATGGTTTTCGCTGGATAACGGTTTCACGTTACCCTAAATAAACGTAATATTTTTATTACGAATAACTTCAGAAAAAAACCCATGTTTTTAGTGTAGTGAATAGAATTGTTTTGCCAAAAAAGGACTACAAAAATTAATATGAGGCTTTTGATTTAGCACAGAACTAGAATGAAATACGAGTTCTACAGACATACGAGCTGTTAGTTCTTTTTTCCATTTTCTACCATACTTTACATACCGTATTTGTAATATGTATTTGAATGAGAAAAAACACCACATTGTGTTGATTTGTGTTGTTGAATATTGTTAATTGTTTACTTAATGTGCAATGCAATGTTGTCTTTATACCGATGGCAGAAAATCAGCAAGAAGTTTGTTTCATTTTTACTTCTTTGGTGTTCGTTGTAGCAATTTTCAGTACATATCCTTGATGACAAGAAATTATATTTTTACTTATGTTTTCTCCTTAGGTTTGTGTACATATGTTGAGTCAACAAATATTTGGGTTTTTTTTTACTGAATAAAATTGTTAACATTACAAATTGAAGTCTGATTTCCAAGAAAGGATGGGTGTAAATCAGTTTATATCACCTGCCTCGCCACCTGTCAAATTTCAAAATAAACAAGGATTTTAGTGAAACAAGAAATGTCAATACGATATTTAGAATTGTCAGATTTGTAATTTGTTTAAACTTAATGGTGTATGCGGAAAGTTGCAGGCAAGAGGCTTCCTTAAGCATAACATTTGAAGTTTTATTTTTAATGCCATACCGTATTTCCTTTGGTTTGGAATAAAATTACGTAAGATTTGTTTATAATTTTCTCTGTTCAACCATGCTGCTTTGAAATTCTTCGACTTTACATTAGAAATGCCATCGATGAAGCGATCCCCCTCGTTTGTTTCATCTAGCCAGAGATGACACATCTACAGTAATTAGATATATCGTTTGTTCATTAACATGCCGATTAATTTTAGACATAGTCTAAAATTCCCCTGATTTTTGTTTCACTGCATAGATACCTTTTAAAATAATTGACGTCAATTTTTTTTTTATTTATTTTTATTTAGAAATTATTAGAATTTGATTTTGATCTTTTCAATTGCACTCTTAAAGAACGACAACTTGGACAATGTACCGAATTTAATCCATTTAACAATCTAATGAACCCGATAAAATTGACTGGGAATGGTTTGCAAGCCTTCAGATCATATTGTTATATTATTTACCGAAGATTTTATACCTTAAAACCAACTGGACTTTGGTCCAGAATATCGACAAAGTCCACGTCGTTATCCAACCAAACCTCGATCCGCCCCCGGTCTATGGAAAAGACTTTGTTCACCATGTGTAGCGAAAAAGAATCGAATCCAGTATCATCTAATGTGAAAGAAGACCTTGATTAGTTATATCTAAATAAGTAACTAAATAATTAAAATTGAATCTAAAATTAAAATTGAATCTCAAAATATAAGAAAGGGGGGGGGTTAATGTTTTTTGTTTTTTTTTTAATTTAAAAAGCCTTAGAAAACTTGCCAAACAGAAGCGTGGCGACTCTCCGTTTCTGGAGTTTGTGTTTGTGGAGGTCCAGTTCTGTTATTTTCTTGCCGTGGAATGTAATCTTAATGGTCTTTGTTTTATTCTTCCTCGTACGCGAGGCTACAAAACGAAAGGTGGACGCTGGACGATCACAAACAGTAGTTACGGGTATCATCTGTTCAGAATTGTTATTGCTTAATGGTTGGAAATCCCACAAACACTCCGTGAAGACACGCCTAGGAGGTTCTTTGCGTAGCCATCTCTTGAAAGATCGGAATTTTGAAAGAATTACATATCCAGGGCCACACGGACATTTTGAAGTTTGAAAGCTGGGTACTGGGGTCACATATTCACCTGTAAAAATTATGAAATGACAGAAATGTAGATGTATACCAATAGATCACTATAAACCATGCATCTTATCTAGAGCAATTGTGATACCTGTGAATCTTTTTAGAACTTCATCACCAATTAATCTCCACGATAACTGTACATCTGCAAGCTGAAGTTTATCAAAAACTTTCTTTGGCATAAGCATTATTGGCGTATTGTGTCTAAAATGACTGTCATGACGTCACAATGAAAATAGTGTTAACTGACGTCACAATAACCCATCATAATCACCAATGTCATAATTGAAACATTAAATGATGGAAACAATGGATCCCTTCCTTTATAAAGAGCTTAAAAATTGCGATGCGAAGCGATGTTGGGCATTGGTAAAAAATGTCATTGGTGTCCAGTTACTTGGTAAGTTATTTAATTGTTAGTGGGATACTAAACTACCTATTTCATCTTTAATTCATTTCATTTTTCCCTGACATGTTCATCACGGGTTCGACAAGAACACTTTAATTCTTATAGAATATTGTAAAAAACAATGGTTTGGTTGAATATTCTTAACCTTTTTCATAGATGATGATGTTATTATGATACCTTTCCTTCCGGAGGGAAAATTTTACGATCTGGGGCGTGTCATAGTGAAAGAGGAAAGATCTCCAATGCAGAAATTGGCGCGGATCCCACCAGGGGCTCTAGCCATTGGAAAGCTTACCGATTTCGTTAAGGACGAAGTTATTCATGGTGCCTTCAACAGACTAAGTGAAATGCAGAAAGTCGAAACAGCACACAATCCACGTTACGTGTTCGAAGAGTCCGATATGAAACACGGTGTCAAAAAAACAGTTCGAGTGGAAATACTTGGTACTGATCATTACGCATTGTGGAGCCTACCAGAGAACAACAGTTTGGTGGTAGATTTTGATAACAGAGGTACGCGTTACACCATTAGTCTATGAGTTAAGTTTTCAAACATTTAAATGTACTTTTTCTGTATATTTTTTTTTTTCAAATAATTTGGTTGCGATAAAACTTTAACTCCGAGTCATGCAGCTTCACAACAAAATTCAGCTCTTTCTCCAGTCGTAGCTGAAAAAAATTTCGACGACTAAATAATTTGATAAAAATTATTAACGAAATGAGGTGGGTTTCAAAATTTTACCCTAATCAATTCTGCTGAAAATCGATAGCTGTATGGAGGGTATGGTGATCAGTCTGTCCGAATATAAATCATTAAGGTCAGAAAACACGTTCCTCAATAATATATAATTTTCCCCAACAATTTGTCATTAAAGTATTGCTACTTTAACAACTTTACTCACCAAAAAAAAAAAAAAAAAAAAAAAAAAATTAGGTACCTTACCAGAAATGTGCGCAAGATACCAGAGGACGGTAGTTTCCTACATAATCCTATTGAAAATAACAATAATATTGCCAATATCATACTTTTTGGCGGTATTTCTCTGTAAGACATTTTGAAAACAGTTTAGAAATCACAAAATAATGATAATTATTAACATTTTTTAAAATATGTAACTAAGAGATACAAAACAGATACTTGAGGAACGTGACGTCTGACCTTAAAATATTAGAGTTCGTGAGATACATAGCTCACCTTAATGAGAATGGCAGCATTTGAACAGCTATAACTGGTCCAAAAGTTAGTAAGGTCACCTTTTATTTCATAATATAAGAATTCTGAATTTAGATTAATTTCATAATGCCTCGCTCTTTCAGCAACATATAAAAACGATGTCTTGGTCAGGTACATGTATTTCTTAATTTTGAATTTACTGAAGCTTAAATTAAAGTTCATCTTTTGTCATACTAATATAAAGTCCGTGTATATTCTACAAACCGCTACTCTGTAAATTCAAATTTACAAATTTTTCATGACGACTTGATCAGTACGTTAATTATTATGTGGCATGAATATCATAGTTTCTAGTTTATGTTATGCAAATGCTTAAAGCAACACTATTCGCACTAGAATAGTCATTTATTTGTTCAAACTTAAGAGGTTTTTTTTTTCCATTTTGCATCATTTTTGTTATAACACGACTAAGAACATGATATATTTTTATGCTGATTTTTTCTCTCTTTCTTTTATTTATTTCGTAGAAAATATGAACTGGCGATATTAGGGGAGCTAGCAGTAAAGTTTGTGAATAATTTCACACTTTTTAAATTTCACATCCACTGTCTCTGAGGGAAAAATACAAAACGACTGCTATGCCTTATGTTTGCGATATAAAATCTTACAAATCGTAAACGTGCTTGTTCAAACCATAAAATTGTCGTTAAACTGCGTAAAGGCGGGAACTGAAATGTCTTGCACACAATCACAAGTTCTGATAGAAGGAACATTGTACGCCTTTCTTTGTGAGACAAGTCCCTTAGTGATTTAGCCAATTCATTCACATAATGTTCATTTTTTTCCAGCGATGCATATTTCCTCTTTTTGCTAAAAGCACTTGTTTACAGGGGAAAGGTCTTCATGTCTTAACATTAAGATACATGTTTATGGACCTTGTTACTTTCCTGGTATTCCCCTTTTCTGAAGCGGATTTAAACTCGTTAACATTTAGTACTTACTGGTATTTTTGTAGGATTTCCGTATGTGAAGAAATTTTACCTTCTATACGATGTGTTTTATGCCCGACAAATCAATGTGTATGTTCGGATAAATGATGAAGTGGATGAGTTTTGCATTAGAGAGAGAACCCCAATTGGATTCCGTCTGAAGCGATATAAGATCCAATCAAATGGCTTGATAGGTCCTACGAAGGATATTTCCAACAAAAAATGGAACGTCCACTGGATCAAGAACACCATGTTTAGAAATCCCATGGACGCCCTTCCAAATGTTCCGAACAGCGGTATGTGTACAACATGCCTCTAGCATGTGGTGGAGAAATCTTCTAGTCCATTTTTTTTATGCCCCCGTAATCAAAGATTCGGGGGTATGTAGTTTTTGCCCTGTCCGTCTGTCTGTCTGTCTATTTTTATGCCCATAACTTTTGATTGGGTGGAACTATGACTTTCATGTTTCACATGTGTATTCCTTGTGACAAGACCTTCGTTTGGATACCAACATATTTGTCCTCTTGACCTTGACCTTGACCCACTTTTGCCAAATTTTTTTTTACCAAACTTTAACCTTGGTCATAACTTTTGAACAGGTGGTGCTAGAGCTTTCATATTTCACATGTGTATTCACCGTAACAAGACCTTTCCATGAATGGAAATATTTTTGACCTTCACCTTAGAGTTGACCCACTTTTAAAAAACTTTCACCTTGGCCATAACTTTTGAACAGTTGGTCCTAGGGCTTTCAAATTTCACAGGTATATTTCTTGTGACAAAACATTCCTTTGGATTCCAACAATTTTGATCTTGACCTTGGAGTTTGACCTACTTTTGAAAAACGTTTATCTTAGCCAGAACTTTTGAACAGTTGTTGCTAGGGCTTTTATATTTTTAGTTGCATGGGTATTTCTTATGACAAGATCTTCCCCTGCGTACCAATAATTTTGAGCCTTTGACCTTGACCTTGACCCACTTTTAGAAAACATTAACCTTGACCATAACTTTTAATGATTGGTGTTGGGGCTTTCATATATCTATTTCCTATTTCATTTTTAATGTATATCTATGTATATCCTTTCTTTGGGTAACAACATTTTTGATCTCTTGACCTTGAAGTTTGACTTTCATTTGAGAAACTTTAACCATCACCATAAGCTACCATACGGGGGCATCAGTGTTTCACAAACACATCTTGTTTATTTATTTATTTATATATTGTTTTTGGTTTTTGTTTTTTGTTTTTTAATTTTTTTTATTTTTATTTATTTATTTATTTATTTATTTTGTAATTTTTATTTTTTTTTGGTCAAGTCGTTATTAAGCAACACTTTTTTAAATTCCATTCTAGGCCGCAGTCGGTGACCATTTTCCTGTTTCTTGTTCCTTGGATCCAAACTGGTCTCGAGAAAGATGCTTTATATCTCCAATATATGGAATCTTCATTTTATTTACTGACCCATTATCATTGTGAAATTGCACTTATTATTCAGAAAAATAAATTAGTAAAGATTTTTTTCTTGAATGTTATTCTCCCAAGATACTAAATCCAAAACTTGAAGCTATGACCATAACTTTGTTCAAGGTCAAAGCTTCATATTAAACCAGTTTCGAAGGTCAAGATTTTAGCGGTGTATTGACCACATATCTTGCCTTATAATTATACTTTGTCAATTTATATCAAACAGGTAAACTAAGAGTGGGATGCTATTTTGCATATATTCGGAAGAAATATTTAATCCTTATGTTTCTGTTTGTCCTTTTTACCTATCACTTCCGTTTTCAGTTGACCGGAAGTGATAAAAGAATTAGAAAGGCTACATATACGGTACCTATCCTGGATCCAAAACTTCATAAAATTCCTTACAAACAAAGATGTATATTGCTGGGTCCAGTAAATGTTCAACCAAGCGCCTATCCTTACTCCTCACCAAAATATTAACTGCTGTGAAGGAGAAACTTCAAAAGTATCGTTCTACAACATGTAAATCAAATGTGGATTCTAAAAAACTCCAAAGAACTTTTGGAAAGTTTAAAATCTCAAAACTTTTATTGCATCAAAACGAATGACTTTTCAAAGCTTTATACAACCATTCCTCTCTATAAATTATAGAAATTTTGTTTATTTCTTAAATCATAGACAACTGGTCACCTGAGTATATTAAACGATTTAAAGGATCCATAGAGCATAAAATAAACTGATGGATGAAGCTTTGTTGCCCAAAGCAAGAGAAATAGGATGATCAGGATCAACGAAATAATTAGTTTAGTATTTAGTAACAACTCATAAATGAATTTCTAATCTATCCCCCATTTATCATGATCACCATACAGACTATTAACGAGTTATTATTGAGAGGTTATGAAATGGGGTTTAAAGTAGTACAGAAGCACATTGGCCTTTCTTGGTCTTTGAAGAACAATTAATAAGACAAGTTTTTTCTGTCTCATGTTTATTTATCTATTATAAGTCTACCCGATCATTAAAACTATAAAAGTACTTTTTGTATTATACAATAAAAAATCTTGCATAATTCACATTCTATTAACCTTTCAAATAAATTATTTTTAGTGATTAATTATCAAAAGTGAATGGCAAAGGGGAATAACTTCTCTCAGTAGAATACAGATTAATAGAGCCCTGGTTAGGACCAGAACATTTGCCCAAATAGTCCAGATGTTCAAAAATCTGGTAAAAATACCTTTTTTGTTACTTTACTCTGTTTGTCTGCGATATGCCCAGGAACAGAGAAGATTTTCACAGAAATAATGCATTTTCACTACAGATTCAACACAGCCCTACCCTAACACCAGAACCCATGACCCAGGGTCATGAAATTCACAAATTGGGAAGCGGTACCATCATCATCATAACTATGCACTTAGTTGAAGATTTTCAAAGAATTAACGCATTTCCAATATATTATCAATAGAGCGCCCCCCCCCCCCCCCCGAAAAACAATAGAACCCCTGACCCTGGGATCACAAGTTTTAAAAATTTTGTAAGAAGCTCTCGCTCATCATTACAATGTACTTAGTTAGCCTGTATAAAACCTAGGAGCAGAGAAGAAGATTTTCAAAGAATTAATGCATTTTCACTATATAATCAATAGAAGCATCCTTGCTCATCATATCTATGTACTTAGTTAGACTTTTTAATGCCCAGGAGCAGAGAAGAAGATTTTCAAAGAATTAATGCATTTTCACTATATAATCAATAAACCTCCCTTTCACCAGAACCCCTAACCCAGGGGCCATGAAATTTACAATTTTGGAAGAGGCACCCTTGCTCATTATAACTAAGTACCTAGTTAGTCTGTTTGATACCCAGAAGCAGAGAAGATTTTCAAAGAATTAATGCATTTTCACTATATAATCAATAGAGCCCCGCCCTAACACCAGAACCCCTGACCCAGGAGCCATAAATTTCACAATTTTTGAAGAGGCAACCTTGCTCATTATAACCATTTACTTACTTAGTCTGTTTAATACCCAGGAGCAGAGAAGAAGATTTTGAAACAAATAATGCACTTTCACTGTATGATCTATATAGCCCTGCCTTAGCACCAGCACCCCTGAACCTGACCCACGGGCCATGAATTCACAATTTTGATGGTTTTAGCCCACCCCTCAGGCCCGGGGGGGGGGGGGGGCAGGGACCATGAAATTCACAAATTTTGTTCCCCTTCCCTCATATACACTGTATGCTAAAACTGGTTCAGCAGTTCCAGAGGAGAAGCTGGAAATGTTCAAAAGTTAATGGACGACGCACGACGACTGACGAAAACAGATAACAATAGGTCACCTGAGTGACTCGGGTGACCTAAAAATGGATCTTGTAAAGAACGAGGGCGAATTTGATTGGCATTCGGCAGGAATATGGGCGTACTTTAAAAGTGAATATGTATCAGATTCCTGTGAAATAGGAACGGGAAATATTTTCCAGATATTGTCTTTTAATTTGAAAAAAAAATATTGAAATATGACTATATGAGTCATTAGGTATAAAATTTTACATTTTAAAAAATGTCTATCTCTGGGTCTTCTCTCAATGATTTTAAAACATTATTTGTGTACATTTTAATTCAAAGAAACGAGCAAACATTTGTAAAAAAAAAAAAAATGGAAAGAAGACCCAGGGACCATACAAAATGAACTTTTTCCAAAAAAAAAAATATCATTGTGTAAATGCGGTGCTTCATTGACGTTTTTAAATCCATATTGTTTGTGTAGCGATAATAGCTCAGTAGTACATCAGTACAAAGCACTCAGGAATCGAGAACTTTTTGGTTTGATCCTCGCATGAAGCGTTAATTATTTTTTATACAATCCAGTCGTTTGTCACTTTGATTTTATATGCTGATCAATTAAAATTTTAAAATAGATAAATTTTTGTTAAGTTGCCGAGAGCGAGAGCAATTCTTCCAATCTACTGAAACTTTAATATACATGCAATTGCATTTATATATTACCTGTAATCTTATAGGTGTTTGTTACAAGGTATTTCAAAGTAAATGTAACTTTTTTTTTTAAGTGCGTAGCTTTCTAAAAGCTGTCCAGCTGTGGTCAGCCGACCAAATCGTGGATATTTAAACTATAAAGGTTTCGTACGCAAGATTCATGCAGATTACATGCCAAATACGCCCATCTTCTTTTCGTCAAAAACTTCTACAAGAGAAGAAAACTCTTGTGACTTTCAACCCAACATTTAGATACATCGACGAAGTTTTATCAAGTTTACTTTTATTTAAATCTTGACTCGAATTATCCCAGTGATTGATTCTGTTGTTTTACGTCCCTTTCGAGAATTTTTCACTCAAATACGACAATTCCACAAACTCTACGGTCGTTATAATGACCTTGTCTGTACAAATAACCTATTGTTGGGTCGTATTTTATCTGACATGTTTCATACCAATTGTAGGGTCATTGTTTTTATACTTAAACTGACTAAGGAATGATCAATAGATAGGGCTCACGACGGTTTGGACTGGTCGACAGGGGATGCTTACTCCTCCTAGACACCTGATCCCCTACTGTATTTATGAGATTGATCGGGGGGGGGGGGGGGGGGAGGAGGAGGAGGGTTCAGGATTTGGACAAACTTGAATTTACACTACCTGAGGATGCTTCTATGTAAATATGGCTAATCATTGGCTTTGCTTTTCTTGATAAGAAAATTTTTAAAGATATTTTTTTCCGACATATTCCTATGTATTCCTTTGACTGCCTATTGTAGCCCTGGAGGTCATGATTTGAACAAACTCGAATCTACACTACCTGAGGATACTTCCATAATATTAGGATTAACCATGGTTTTGCTGTTCTTGAGAAGATGATTTTTAACGATTTTCCCTATGTTTAACTTGGTTGCCTATTGTGGCCCCGCCCTAACCCCCGGGGCCATGATTTGTACAAACTTCAATCTACACTACATAATGAAGCTTTCATATACTAGTACGTTTCATCTTTCCTGGTGGTTCTTGAGAAGAAGATTTTTAAAATGCCATTAATTTTTCACTAATTCTAATATCTTATTATCTCCCCTTGAATGAGGTGTGGCCCTTCATTTGAATAAATTGAATTCCCTTTATTCGAGTATGTTTTGTGACAAGTTTGGTTGGAGTTGACCCAGTGGTTCTTGAGAAGAAGTCGAAATTGTAAAAAGTTTACAGACAACAGAAGGACGCCGGACACCCTTTGATCAGAAAAGCTCATAAAGCACATGTATACCTTTTATGAAGTACATGTAAATAATATACTATATGAATAAAGTACTTAAATATAGCATTGTTTGCAGCGCATTTTAACTTTCTGTAACTGTATAATTATTGCAATAGAAATAAATGAATTGTTTCGATAATTAAAGCTTTATTTCAAATAATTGAAAGTTCAACTCTTTGAAATAATGGCCTAAAACAATTTGTAACAATATACAAGACATTGACTTTGACCCTTTCTCCTCAGAATCAATTTGGACCATGTTTTCATTATAGACGATATTGAAGTTAATCTGTTATTATCGGCCGCAGGAGCGGCCGATGTATTCGTGGTTGTGTTTGAAAATGAAACGTTATAATTTTTAAATAGTTCTATACAACAGGTATAGCTTTTTCAAAAAGCTTTGCCGTCTTGAGCAACAACTTTTTACAGTAAACTGACATACAGCTATCAGGCCGTATTATTCTAGAGTACTGTAGTTACTAGTAGTACACGGCTCTATATATCCTCAAAAGCTTTTTTACAGACATTAGCTTTACCATATAAACAAAGGGAAAAAAGAATAAACACAAATTTCAATGTTTGCATGCAAAAAAAAAAAAAATAAAAAAATAAAAATAACAAAACAAAACAAAACAAAAAAAATTCTGTTAACCATGCAAATATAGAAAAATTAAATAATAGTTGCTATTGGATGTATTCGAAATTTGAAGTTTATCTGTTGAGATCATTCTTAATTACCTGCACAAAAAAAAGAAGAAAAAAAAAGGAGTCTTAATGTGCTTATGCAAATTGTTTATCAAATCTGAGGTCAACATGCAACATATCACCATGATCATTTTAAAATGCCGTATCTTAATTTAATATCAATTTAAAATATTTAAAAATGATAGTAATGATATGTCACCATGACCTAAAAGTTTCCATGTCAAAGGCCAGGGGTTGTGTCAACTCCAATGACAGTTTTAAAGACATTGTATTTTGTTTGGATTCAAAGATAATAAATAGAAGACATTTTAAATCTTTGTTACTGATTTGTAAACTATACGATTTACAAACTTAAGTCATTAAAAGGTTTTATTAAGAGCTTTTATATTTTAGCTTTAATATAGAGATAAATATTTAACATTTGTTCATCCTACAATAATTTTGTAAACTATATCAACTTTGTAAAACTTCGTTCTCATAAGTTCTGTGAATTTGACGTGATATCCCTGTCTCGTGCATTATAAAAGTTCCTTTCTGTCCAACATTCCTAGAATTAGATAATGAGATCTTCCTTTTTGATTAAGTTTGCTAAATTAGGTATGTATTTAAGAGATGTATATAAAAACAAACTACAAGATAATTAACAGACTTCTTCACAGGGCATTTGTTAGGGAAATAAAAGTTTTAGTGTCTTGGAAACAGTTAACAGAGGGACACTGCAACGCATCAAGTAACGAATAACACGAGAAACATAGGTAATTTTGTTTTATGTCCGACACACGATTACAACAAAGGCTACACTTAGCCACCTGTCTCTTTATTGGTTCGACCAAGTCGAACTTTTTTGTACGATTTTGGAAGTCGATATTAGAACCACTTTTTGATATCTTTGATTCTGTAACAAAAATCAAAACAGACGTTTCAGTTAGAACACTACAATTTTTATTAGCAGAAATTCAAAAGTCACATGATTAAAATGATAGTTTCATCAATCAAATCAGCATGTTTGTATCATGAAAATGACTCCATGGAAAACATAAATAATCTGTCATGCATATTGTTTTACTTCTTTATTTTAGCAAAGACTCTATAATACGTGTCTGTGGTTTACCTCATTTACAGGAAAAGTGAAAAATGCACGTGGAAAGGAGAGCAATTAATGCGTCAGAAAACAAAAGAAACATTAGCCGGAAAGTCGTCACCCTTGTCGTATTCCAGTGGGGGTGTAATCAACATTTATAATTATTATTAGGCCTAAGAATATCAATTATTTTTTGTAACGATAATCACGACACACGGATACAATAAAAATACCATGTATATACCTATTTGGCACATTTAGTCGCTAATGTACAGAATGACTTTTACATACACGTATTACATTCTGGCGAGCATTAAATGCCAGCGACTGTCCCGTCTATATCAGTGACAATTCACAAGCTTTTCCTATAAATAATATTCTATTTGTTCTCAAAACAAAGGTAAAGAAAACACTCGGTAGGCTGTCGTCACTTTAGATAGATAATCATTCGGTTATCTATTGGATTTTATGCACCAATTCATTTAACATCAAATATTAAATAACTACTAACACGGTACCCTGTTTTATATATACATGCATGTACAACCATTACATAAAGGATCAGTCTGTTCTTTCTCCTCCTAAACCACGTGGTAATAACACGTTAACATCCACAATTAGGAGGGGGTTGACACGTAGAAAATTGTCCTCTTTGATCACAGATACCTGTAAGATGATAATAGGTTCGGTTTAAATGAATAAAACTAAACCAAAATATACCTGTTTTATATATAAGTATCCTAATTGATTAATATGTATGTCATGTCAATGGGTTACTGCATAGATTGAACATGACCGCACCTGGATGACTGGAGGGGTTTCTAAGAATTCCTCTCAATCGAAGGAAGGAGAGGACTCGAGGATTCATGTTATACTGGGAGAGAAAGCTACAGAGAGTCTGGAGGGTGTATCTGTTGGTGACCAGACCCAGTTCCTGACCATTCCGAACACCGTCCCCGTCAGAATCGGCCAGACACAGCTGTTCAGTAAACATATGACCACTGCTGGCAAAGTCCTAACAGAAGAAAATATCGTGTACACTCGTACGATGGGAAAAAAATAATTAATGAAAATAACTTCATAGAATTTAATTTTTTTTTTAAATTGAAGGTATCGTTATTTTTAAACTGTGTAATTTATTTTTTTTTTCAGAAATGAAATGTTTATGTGATTGCACTTCTTTCTAAGAAGCTCGATTTCTGCTAAAATTAGTGATCTTCATACCTAGATACTGCATTTTTAGTTGCTCACTTACAATTGAATTATTTTTGGTATATAATTTATTGAATATAAACTATAGCACTCAAAGAAGACGAATTCAAAATACAAAGCATATAAACAATTCACTTACTCTTCCAAAGCCATTAAGCTGTGTTGAAGATGAACTCATATGTCCAACCCGACCCCACATACTTCCCGGGCAACATGGGTTGGGTACCGCGTGTCCATTCAAAATACGATCCCTATATTGTGGTAATGCGTTGGCCACTGTTACAAGTAGAAATCCAAAAACAGCTGTTAGTATCATGTTGTCTGATGAGAACCTTAGGGTAGAATAACGCTTAGCTGAAGGGACAGCTTACTAAAAATACTGCCAAATTCGCAGGCGCTGATTCGTCCGTGTAAATTGGTGACGATTTCCCTACCTTACCTGGTTATGCGCAACCTCGCCTGTCATCAGAAGGTAATGGACGTCATCTGGTAATCAACAAAACTCCCCGTTTTTTGGTAAATGAGGCTTTGGCCAAAATAAATGCATGTAATAATTTCTAGCAGAGTATACATATGGCATTGTGGATATAAATTGCACATTTGTCGTATCAATTATATGTATTAGTTCATAAAAATGTAGTTTGTTATTGTTTTTTTTTTCTTCGAAAAAATCTTATTCGTAGATTAAATTAAAAAGACATTGATTAGAAAAAAATATAGATACTGATTTTTACATCATGGTGTTTCAGTTTTATTTTCCTTGTAACATACCAGATTAATGTGGTGACTTTATCTATTACATGTATGTACATGTTGAACAATCAAAAATGGTGAAGTCTGTAACATCAATAAACTGTTAAAAAACTGTTACAAAGACTAACTATTAATTACATGTATGTAGTTATGCTTGTGAGATCAATAAATGTATATGTGCAGAAATATGAATAAACAATCAAATAATATATATATATTTCATTATACTCAAGTATTACCATAAATTGCTAACGCTTCAAAACTACATGATATAAAGATATGCAAACACATGCCGTAAGTACAGGAGTTACGAAGGAATCGTTATGTCGCATCAAGATTACATTAGGTCTAGGTTAGTAATATAATATCATGACGTAACATATATACATGTAATTGATCTTAAACTTATTGAACTCTGAACTCTTATACTAAATGTAACTATTGAAGACTTTGAATTATAAAAAGAAATTCACTAATATATATAGTGATATATATATATATATATATATATATATATATATATATATATATATATATATATATATATATATATATATATATATATATATATATATATATATAGATAGATAGATAGATAGATAGATAGATAGATATATATATATATATATATATATATATATATATATATATATATATATATATATATATATATATATATATATATATATATATATATATATATATTGTACATATGTACATCTTTCTGATTGGCAGAGTTCCAACATTGTAGAAAAAAATACTACGTTATATTCATTCACATGACCTTCCAGGTGAATATAAGAATTTGTTATACCTTTAAAAATTGTTTCCTATATAATTCTTTGCTAAAAAAAAAAGTGCGTTTAAAAAAAAAGAGCGTTTTGTCAACCCCTCGAACCAAACTGTTTGCCTTCGGCCTAACGGCCTCAGGCAAACAGTTTGGTTCTTGGGTCCGACAAAACGCATGTTGCCCTCGAACCCAGTCAATAAATGTATATTATTTTTTCTACATTGGAGTAAAAGTAGATTGAGAGAAGCAGTTATGAAAAGTTATTTCATCTGCACCGACTTTCATTCTGCAGTCCCTCGAGTTTAATTTAATGAATATATTGTATTCCTCCGGTGGCTAAATCATCGTATTGACCTCAAAAACACCAATTTAGCGCTTTGCGTACCTCGGATCATTCTTCGAATGGACTCTAATAAACACGTGACGATAACTGCGGGAAAAATTCTACAATTATATAACGCATTCATGAGTAATGTCCAAAAAATGTCACTTGACTGTAAAACAGTATGTGAACTGTTCGACTTTCTTGTTTTTCGAAAATGAACTATAGTCATCTGTATGGAGCGGAAGTATGGGGTTACGTGTGCTTCGTTCTGATTTGCTGGGACAAAAAATCAATATCTTCCTTGTTTGTTTGTTTATTTATTTATTTATTTTTTGTTTTTTACAAAATAATATGAAATAAAATATAGGCACATATTAATTATGTTGTTCTACAATATGATTAGTACGATGTTTCTTGAAAACAGGAGCATGCACGTGCTCTGCAAATTCATTGGATGGAAATTTAAATGACCATAACTTTCTTAATTTTCATTAAAACGACAAAATTTGGAATATAGATAAGTACAATATTTTCCTACATAATAAAATTATCAAAACTGAATGCAAGGGCATTTATACGTGTGTGCTGAATTCTGATTGGCTAATTGTTTAATGACCCTAACTTTCTCTCAATCCGAATGAAAGAGTTTAAAAACACTAAGGTTTATATTATTATACACTATGAGAAAATATATGTGAGATATCTAAAGACTAATTTTAATCCTCTCTCTGGAATCTTATCGGCTTAAGTTGTAATTGGCTATAACTTTTTTTTTTTACTTTTCAATGAAAAGTTTTGTGTATTGTATAATTTTCCATTTGTATTTTATAAATTTCCATTTGTATTGTATAATTTTACAACACAAATAGAAAAGTATACAATAAAAATGGAAAACTTTACAATACAAATGGAATATTATACAATTCAAATTGAAAATATACAGTACAAATGAAAAATTGTACAATACAAATAAAAATTATACAATTCAAATTAAAATTATACAATACAAACGGAAATTTATACAATACAAATGGAAAATTATAGAATACAAATAAAAAAAAAACAATACAATTGAAAAATTACTGAATACAAATAAAAATTTTACAATGCAAATGAAAAATTATAGAATACAAATGGAAAAGATCGAATCTTGCAACGTTTGACTTGCCATACCTTTGTTCTCTAGGAATACCATTCCATCTCCCAGTTTCAATAGGCAGTTTAAATTTTTTTGATCTAAATCTGCATAGCAAAGTTGAAAATTGCAAGATAACAAGATATTTTTCTGGTTCAGGTATTTCTTTAAATTCGATAATTAATAGTCTTAGATGAATTATAACCATTACTTTTCCAGTTTTGAATAGTTTGGTCTGTAAGTAAATTTATCCATCGTTCGATAAAAATAGAGTTTTGCCCAAAAAGTTATCATTCTCACATTAATATTAACGATAAGTGGAAATTGACTTAGTTCCCAGTAAATCATAAAGTTGGTGTCTCTGAGTATCTGGTTTAATATTGTTTCGGTACAATAAAACAGTTATTTTATATATATAAAAATCATAATTTTTGTCTTATCAATATTGACTTTTAACTGTCATTTTATACAATACCGTATTCGTAAAAACAATTCAACATATATTGAAATGACTCAGGGTTTTCAGCAAATGTGATAATGTAGCATTGTCGTCAGCATATAACAGAGCAAAAAGTATATACATGAAGTTCATTCTCAATCATTTCAGATAGTTTCTCCAGGCCAGTTATACTATTGATGAGGAATGATTCTTATTCATTTTGATAGAGAACAGAATAGGGGATAAATTCTCACCCTGTCTTACACCAAGTTGACAAGAAAAGGCTTAGAACACCATTTACTTTTTAATTCTGCCTTGATATACATTTTTTGATAATTTTTTCTAACATTTTCCATTCATATTTCATGCAGTGCGTCTATCATTTCCCATGCGACCATTTAAAATAAAAAGATCTGCATGTTTGCAAAAATCAAGTAAAAGTTTGCCGAAATTATTCATAACTAGATCTTTAGATGTTCTCTGAAGTGGAATATGTAGTAATTCTAATACATACAAACTTTCAGGTATAAAATCTGAATAAATGTCACAGTTTGTTGTGTAATCTAGGTCTATCCCAGTTCTTGCATTAAAATCACCAATTAGACAAACGTATACTTATTAGAAAAACGAACATATTTCTCTCTCTCTCTCATCGAATGCATCACGAGATACTTATTTAGAATTTTTTGGTGGTATGTAGATAGCATCTAAAAGCAATTTTTCATTCATTTTGTTATTAAGTATGAATTTTAACCACAAGTATTTACTGGAGAAATCAATAATTTATAATAAATTAACGAATGTTCTTTTTACAAAAACAATACCACCTGATTTAAGCGAGATAACTCGCAACGATAAAGAATAAAGAAAGTTTAGATTAATACTGGTCTTTTCATTCTCAGAAGGCTCTCTGAAAATCTTTCTCCATCAAGAAACACCATGGATGAACCATTTAGCACACACGCTTTGCTTTTGCATAAGAGTAAAGAGATTTAGCATCTGCTCCTGACTAGCTGCAAATATGCTTATAAAATAGGAATAATTATTGCATATACGTAAGTACGTTTATACAGCAAGATATATGCTGACATGGGTATTATATACGTGATGGATATTTAAGGATAGAGAATTAGGTCCTATTAGGGATGGAAATCCTTAAGTCCGGCAGAAAAGTCTTGTAAATGAACGAAAATGTATATTTTGTCCATCAAACGAAATAGAAGACGGATTTCATTTTGTTTCAATCTGTAATTTTTATACTAAGTTAAGAAAAAAATATATTAATTTTTTTTTCGTAAGACTTTGTATGTTAAAACTTATTGAACTGCTTAAGGAGGCTGGGGGGTCAACAAATTAACCATCAGATATAACTTAATTTTTAGGTATGATATCTTAAGCTGTCAACTTTCATTTGGCAAAGAAAAATTTCATAAATTTTAGTTTTAAAATTTGATCATTTTTGTATATCTTTATATGGAACTCTTGTTCTAAAGGAGATCAATATAGTCTGAAAATGGCCACAACCCCAAGCCTTCTTAATTCATGTTTTAGGAAAAGAGAAAACTTTACCTTTAAACAAGATTAACAATATTCCTGTATGAGTTTTTTTAAATTATTTTTTTAAATTTATTAATTTATTTTTTTGTTATAAAGCAACTCTCCAAAACCTGTTGATCAATGTTAAGAAGTATTTTTAATACTTTTATGGTAATGTACCGTATATAGCGGCTATCTTTAGCAGGTGTAAAATTTGGCGTTTTGCTTGGTCAAAGGTATGCCAGTAATTTTGGCGGATTTTTTTTTTGGCGGCCACAGGTCCGCTTTGTAAAAAAAAAAAAAAAAGAGGAAGTTCATCTAAATGATTTTTCAGTACTTTTCATAAACGTTTGAATACCGATTAAGCAAGAGTTTGAGTAAAAACCAACACAACATGAAAGATACATTGTTTAACAAAAGACTGATCAAAGTTATTTTTCTTGTATTCAGTACTTAGACCTATAAGGGTGCAAATTCAGCGATTATAATTTTAGCGGGTTGCTTAAAAACCGCTTAAATAAGCCAAAGTTAGCACCCCGCCAAAAATTCCCGCTATACTGTATGTTATTTATACGCCAATAAAGATACTACTGCTAGTAAT